CATATGGAGGTTGGAATTTATTTTAATTCTGTTAGGTTATCACTGCTTTTTCCTGGAGTTTTCTGGATGAGTAATATAGGTGTTCAGCAGTGCAACCTATAGCAGAGGCTGGATGTCATTGAGGAAATCAGGTCAAGCTACATACAGTAATTTGACTGCTTTAACTTTCTTTATCTAGTCCATCACTTAACATTCACCAGGAGCAATGTAAAAATTATGTGGTAATTTCGTTTTCCACCAGCCAGGGAGCCTGTGTACTCACATGAATGCAGTTTTGAGTTTTCTGTGGGAGATTTAAATTGGTCTAAGACGGAGGATGTGAAGATTCGATCTTTTCAACCCCCGGCGAATCTGTGGGAAACCCTGGGTGAAATTTAACAACACTTGCATTGCCTGATGTGATCCATTCCTTTGTTTGCCACATCATCCCGCCTTCATGCTTTGGAACAACATGCAGTTGAGAAGGATTTAAGATCAGCCCCTCCTTTCAGGCCCCTTTCTTTTTCCACTACATTGCTTGCTTTTAAACATCTCACTGAATGCACTGAAAAAGCTCCTGAAACCTTGGGTATCTTACAAGCCTTTGCAACTTTCTGTCCAACTTTGGTTGGCCTTTAAAATTACCATCTCAATGTAGAGTTGGGTAATTTATTTTGTGCCAACACAGCTAGGTATTACATCTTTCATTAGTTGAGGAGATTCCTTTTCCAATAATAATTCCATGCCAAGTTAGATTCCCATTTATGGTGACCTTTTCTAAGACTTATTAGGTATAAAGTACTCAGGCCTGGTTAATAATAAATAATCATGTGCCATCATATCAGTTCTGATTTATGGCCATCCTTTTTTTGGGGGGGGGGTTAGGTAGAAAATACTCAGAAATGGGTTACCATTCCCTTCTTTTTGGGGGGCACCCTAGGAACGTGCAACTTGCCCAAGGCCACACAGGCTGGCTCTACTCACAGGAGGCCCAGTGGAGAATTGAACTCCCAACCTCTGGCTCCATAACCAGATATCCAAAGCACTGAGCTATCCAGCCTGGGGTGACTACCAGTCCCTTTTTCTGGGAGGAACTGTATAGATCGCCCAAGGCCACACAAGCTGGCTCTTCTCCTGAGAGGCACAGTTGGGAAATAAACTCCCAGTCCCTATCTCTTCCAGCATATGCTCCAGCTCAGTGGGCTGTCTAATGTGTTGCCCTCTCTTTTCTAATCTCTGATGCTTGTTTCTTGCTCTGAAGTGAAAATGTGTAGGTAAGATTAGGACAATAGATTTTTGGGCTGGTGCTCCCATACAACAAGCCAGTTAAGCAGCCTGCTTCACAGGTTGAAATTTAGTGAGATTGATGAATGAGCTTTTCAGTGACTGCTCCCAGCCTCGGGGACTCCCTGTTGAGGTGGTCAGTACTGGCTCCTTCATGTTGCTTCTCCATCAACACGCAAATACCACTTTATTCAGCAAATGATCTTTCTTGCTGGAACTAAAAGGGTATTTTGTTATATGGATGCTGTATTTTCTTCTATTGTTGTGTTTCCAACCTTTTAAGCTCATATTAATGTTTTCACTGCATTCATTTTATTTAATTGTAAGCCACGTTGAGTCCCATTTGCACATTTCATGTAATGCTGGAACAGAGCCCCTTATGTGTCAGCATATTAAGTTTTAGCAAACAAATAAATAGCAGAAATAGCTTTTTGTATAGTGAGACTTGGAAGGGCAGCAATGAAGGAAGTAGGAAAAAAATCATCCAGTGTAAAGATGTGTCTCTGAAGATGAGGATCAAGATCATCCACACTTTTGTATTTCTGATCACCGTGTATGGGTGTGAAAGCTGGATAGTGAAAAAAGTTGACGGGGGGGGGGAAGGATTTGTTTGAAATATGGTGCTGGGAGGGAGCTTTGCAGATGCCCGGGACTGCTAGAAAGATGAACAAGTGGGTGCTAGATCAAATCAAGCCTGAACTGTTTCGAGAGGCAAAAATGTTGAAGCTGAGGCTGTCCTACTTTGGGCCCTTCAGGAGAAGGCAGGGTTTTCTGGAAAGGACAATAATGCTGGGAAAGGTAGAAGGCAGCAGGACAAGAGGAAAGGGAAACAGAAAATGGATTAAGTCCCTAAAAGAAGCCACAAGCTTGAGCCCACAAGAGCTGAACAGGGCAGTTGAGGACAGGACATTTTGGAAATTATTCATGCGGCAGCTGTACAGTATGTTGGAAGCAACTTGATGGCATATAACAACAACAACATAGTGCCCTAGTGTGGTGGCAGGGAGTGCCCCTTTGTATTCTACTTCAGGCCACAGCATGCCTTAGCCCACAGGTAAGAGAGTATGCCAGACTCTTTCATGGTGGTCACAGGTTATGACATCACAAGACAACCTCAGAGCTGAAGTTCTAGAAGCTAGAAGAATTACCATCTCTGGGTTTTGGCATATGCATTTTGCCAGGCTGGTTAAAAACAATATAGTGACCCAGGAGGCATTTAGGCATCTGAAGAGGCAAGAGTAGGATCTTCACTGCTGGTCACCCACTGTTAGGTACCCGAAGGTCTAGATCTGATACCCTGAAGGAAATGTCTAGGTATTGTCGATGTATGTTAACAGGTCTACCACATTATTATGAAATTTGAACTTCACATAGATGGGTCTGGCTAAGGCCAATCATTCTCAGGGTTTATGGTGAGGTGTAGAGTTGTAACTAGTCATTTTGCTATCTTGGACAAGTGGCACCATCTCCTGTCGACCTTGCCGTATGGCATGGGCATAAGCCCTTTCGTCAAAGGAGGAGGAGACGGCTATAGTATTCTCTCAAAAAGTAACTAGTCATTTTGCTATCTTGGACAAGATAAGCCCTTTCATCAAAGGAGGAGGAGAAGGCTATAGTATTCTCTCAAAAAAGGAAAAAGGTGGGATAAAAATATTTTAAATAAATAAATAAGGAGAAAGTTTATGGTTAGAAAGAATAAGGCCAGAAGGTTAACCAAAAACTTAAGTTTTTGTTAAATATTTTTGTTGTTATTAATGTTGTAGTAGTAGTAGTAGTAACAACAACAACAACAAAAACAACAACAACAACCAGTAGATTCATCTTTAGTTTTCAACTTTGGTGTCCTGAGGCAAAACTCCAGCTGCTCCTCCCTAGTTATAGCTCTGTTGAGGTATACTGGTTTACTGTGAGACACCCATCAAGTAACGAAAGGTTCCCATGAGGCTTCACAGAACTCCTCTGAGGAAAGCCGTGGTTCAGATGTCAATAGAGTTATCAAACCACAGATGTTATAGAATGACCTGCCACAACAACAGCCATTTATACATCATGAATCTGTCTGAGTGACTTAATGCTCCATCTAGTGCTTGTGGAGATGGAAATGTCCCATTTGAAGCAGAGGCACATAAGGTTGGAGAATTACTGCTGGCAGGAGGTTCAGGGGATTGTGTCATATTATTCACACAATAATATAATAATCAGGCACCATCAATTCAAGTCTCATGGTGACTCCAGCATTTTCTAAGTAGACAACCACCTGGCGGATATCCTTCACTTTGTATTTCTGCATTGAGCAGGGCATTGGACTCAATGGCCTTATAGGCCCCTTCCAACAATTCTATTCTATAATTCATTTCTGCATTGAGCAGGGCATTGGACTCAGTGGCCGTATAGGCCCCTTCCAACTATTCTATTCTATAATTCTACTCAGAAGTGTACTATTCCCTTCTTCTGGGGGTGCCCTGGGACGGTGAAGCTTGCCCAAGGCCACATAGGCTGGCTTTACTTGCAGGAGGCCCAGTGGGGAATCGAACTCCCAGCTTTGGACTTCACAGCCAGATACCTGAACCATTGAACTATCCAGCCAACATTATTCATGTATAGGAGTATGTGCCTTAATCTTCCTCAAAGTTGACCATGATCAGGGAAATTAGGGAAGGATGCTCCTGAGTTGTCTTCTGATCTGCCTTCTAGAATGGAAGTCATCTTTAGGTCTGTGTTACCTACTGGCTGGGACCTCTCTGTTTGCCACATGCCTTCTTACGAACCAGGAGGATTTTCCAGAAGATCTGAATGGCTCTAAAATTCACCAGACATGAAACCCTCCAAAGAGGAGAGTGTGCAGCCAGTTTCCAAACCTAGAAGAGATGGCTCAGACTGTTTTGAATCAGAATCAGGTCACCCATTTCCTAGCATAGGGGAGGAGAACTATGTTCAGAGGGACTGTAACTCTCACTGTCTCTTACCACTGATAATCTGGGGGAACAGCTGACAGGAATTGTAAACATATTTGCATGATCTCTGAGCCACTTTAAAGAAGGCTGCTCTGGACTACAGCCCTACAAGAACACACAGAATTTTTTTTAATGCATGCTCACGCAATCTGTAAACACAGGTGTTTCTATGAATGATGGTACACCCCTTCATTTCCAAAGTGCACATACAGAGTAGAACTCAGACAAATACGGGTGGCAATCTCTTATTTACATGTACAGTACCTATAGCCACTGTTTGTGCTATTTTGTTGCAAAAAGGACTGAGCTTGTGGTAATCATATCTTTGTATATGATACAGTATTGTATTCCACATTTCAGAATGACATTTGTTTACCCAGAATGCTTTGTTTTCAGTAGTAGTAGTAGTAGTAGTAGTAGTAGTAGTAGTAGTAGTAGTAGATGATGATGATGATGATGATGATGATGATGATGATGATGATGATGATGATGATGATGTGACCCTAAGTCAATTCTGACTTATGGCAACCCTTTTCAGGGTTTTCTAGGTAGAGAGTACTCAGGAGTAGCTTCCCATTCCCTTCTTCTGGGGGCATCCTGGGATTGTGCAGCTTGCCCAAAGCTACACAGGCTTGTTCTTCTGAGATGTCCAGCGTCGAATTGAACTCCCAAGCTCAACACCAAGTATCTAAAACACTGACCTATCATTTCTAACTGGGGGATTCTGCGAAGGGTAGTGAACTCTGAGTTTTCCCCTCCTGTTCTTGCTGTTCTTTTTTGCAGACCAGCTCCCCTCTCCTTTGTGATTAGCAACAGGGGCAGCAGATCGAGTCTTCAGTAGGGGGGATGAAGTCACTCCAGCTCTTGTTACCCATCGTGGCCTGCTTGGTAGCAAAAGTCTATGGCAAGATCTTCAGTCGGTGTGAGCTGGCGTCAGTACTGAAACAGTGGGGAATGGACGGGCGTCAGGGTTACGGCTTGGGTGATTGTGAGTATCTGGCCAAGGGGTGTCTGATCCACTTCTCTGCATTATGCGTGAAGAATTCCAATTCGCTTCATCGGTGTTGATAAGGTAGAGCCAGTCCTGTACAAGTTTTTGGATTAGGACATGGATGTGAAACGTCAAGCCCTGGGTGCAACTGTGGTCTCTCTCGGGTCCTGGTCTGGAATTTTGGTCCTCCCCAGATATCTACACCCATTTTCCTGCAATTATCATTGCATGGTGTATTCCGAGCTTGCGTGGTGTATCCCACCCAACCCATTCTAAGGAGTAGGAATGCTAATATTTAGTTAACTGTCAAGAGGACTTTTATGTATTTCTGGTCCTGCCCTTTTGGCTTTGCCTACTACTGGAAGGCAGGTTTTGAGGATTCTAAAGTGGATTTTAGCCCCTGGACTGAAAGAGGTTCTGCACTTTTAGCTAGTGGTTTAGTCGTCCATTTGGAAGTGCTGGTGCTCATCGTGCAGAACTTCCCTGCAAGGAGAGTGAAAAAAAAAATACAGGCACCTGGTTTGGTCCCTATCAACAAATGAGGAGCAAGCCTTTTATAAAGTCTGTGGCTCTTAAGTGCCCATTCATGACCAATTCATTCTCAAATACTTTACATTACAGCCTGGGAAAGCCCATATTTCTTCCACTGACTTTGAAGACCACAGTTAAGCTCCAAGGGAACAGGAAGACATAAGGGGTGGTGGGGGCAGGTGATATCAGAGTCTCTGGTACACAGAAACTCCAGGGGCTTTGACCCTGTGAACCTTTGTTCCACTACACCACTGTTCTTGCCTTGGGGTATGTGGACATAAACTAAAATGACCCCCCTACGAACCAATATTCTAGCTCCTTGTAAGCAAGTGTTGTGCCTACAAGTTGGATTTAAGGCGGGTGGCATGATATACTGGGATTGAATGAGGAACAGATTATGTGTCCAGTTCAAAGACATCCTGTACCATGAATTAACTAAAGAAGCTTAGGGATGGTGAACTTTTTCTTAGCTTTGCCCCTTCCCTTGTGTCATCCAAGGAAGCCAATAGGTGGGGAAATTCATTGTGGACAAAAGAAACCACTTCAGCTAGCCCTTCATTAACGTGTGGAGTTCAGGCTGTGAGACCATCAGGTGGTGGCCAAACTACAGGCTTCTGAGGTCACGGTGGGGGGGGGCGAAGGAGAAGACGGATCCTCAGGAATCATAAGAGGCTGTGCAAGGAGAGCCTGTGTCCTTCTCTAGGGCCTAACTTTTTCTGGATCCGGACATGACTCCTCTCTTTGCCTCCCGCCTTGCCTATCCCTGTTTTGGAGCCTCAAGCCGCCACTCCCACTGGGTCCGCTGTTTTATGACCCGCCCCGCAGCGTTTGCCCGCCTCGGTAGCACCCGCGGCCTTCTAATCCAACTGTTAGGGAAGTGCGCCATCTAGTGACTGGATGGGTACTGTAGGCTCTCATCACATGTAAATTGATCAACCTGTCACCTAGTGGCCGCAGCGGAACTGCGGGCTACCGTCAGATTTATATTGATCAGTACTAATTAATGTGCTTAAAAACCAAATAACCCTAAAATGCATACCCTAGAGTCTCCTTAGTACCCACACCAAGCTTCAGATCTGCAGGCTTCACAGACTTGTGCTATGCAAAAGCAAGCATATGTACTGTACATCCATTCTCCCTCTCTCATTTATTTATTTATTTATTGGACTTATATACCGCCCCATAGTGCTACAAGCACTCTCCGGGCGGTTTACAATTTTTAATTATACAGGCTACATATTGCCCCCCCAGCAAGCTGGGTACTCATTTTACCGACCTCGGAAGGATAGAAGGCTGAGTCAACCTTGAGCCGGCTATCTGGGATTTGAACCCCAGGTCGTGAGCACAGTTTTAGCTGCAGTACAGCGTTTTAACCACTGCGCTATGAGGCTCATCATCATCATCATATTCTCAATTTTCTTTGAGAGTCCAAGTTTTGCATTTATATTGTTCGAGTAGCTTTGCAGCAGCCTGTCCTGGTTCCAAAGCTGGGTCTGCTGAGCCCAGTAGCCCATTTGTCGCCAGATGCCCAGGGGCTATGGCATCTGATGCGGTCCTTGTTGACCCGGGCAATGACCGATCCGGTATGGATTTCTTTTTATTCCCTCTCATCATATTGCATGGTTGGTGGACACAGTTGGTCTGGCTTCTCAGCTGAGATTGGTCTGGCTTGGGAGACCCTTCAGCATAGCTCTCAACCTCACTCAAGCACGCAAGCCCCTCCGCCTCAACAAGGCCTGTGCCCATGGAAGTTAAAACTTGTATCGGTTATATAATATCCGCCAATGTTTTTAAAACTGCCAGCCTCTGGCTCCACAGCCTAATACCTAAACTACTGAGCTATCCAGCAGTTCCTAGATTATAATTTTTCTAAAATTGCAGGGACTAGAAGCTTTGTATGAAATGAAACCTAAGAATGGCAAGATGTGAAGCCCTTTCCTTTGTACAGTATGAGATCCTGTGCTCATATGACAAAACTATTTTTAATTAATTAATTAATTAATTGATTGATTGATTGATTGATTGATTTGATTTATACCCCACCCCCCTAGACAGCGTCTTCTCGGGGCGGCTTGCAAAATCATAAAATATCATTAAATAACAATAAAAACATCACAATAAAAAATAAACAACATTTATATCATTTGTAGACTGCCTTTCTCCCAGTGAGGGACCCAATGTAAATCTGCAGAACATATCCTAGAAATCACAGCCTCCTCTCCATATATGTGAATCTAATTTCATACACATAGGTGAATCCATTCTTATAGTGAATTTCCCAGCTTGGCAGCTGTGAATCAACAGCAACACAAAGGGGAATGATGGCCTTGGGCAAATGTACTTAATTCAAAATGCATGGCTTGAATGTTGGCCTCTAGAACTGCAGAGATCAGAACAGAGAAGCATGTGTACCAAGGTTTCGGCAAGGCAAACCTTTTCACTGGCAAGGTCAAATTTGCTGCCTGTTTCATTCCGGATTTAATGGCTGCACAATGCAGTTAACATGCAGACCTGTCTCTCCCCATTTAGGGGTCTGCTTGGCGTACTTTGCAAGCACCTTCAACACAGCCACTGTGATGCACAACGCCGACGGCACCTCGGAATATGGCATCTTCCAACTGAACAGCCGCTCCTGGTGTGATGACCATCACAGTCAGTCTGAGAACTTCTGCAGCATGTCTTGCAGTGGTAAGGGCTCCAGTCAGAAACTCAGCACAAGGACCAGAGCTGTTTTATTTTATGTTATCTTATCTATATCTTGCCTTTCTTTCAATAAAGGTAAACAAGGCAGCAGAAAAAGAAATTTTTAAAAAAATACATGTATAAAATCACAATATTCTTCTCCCTTGAAGTGCACAGGTCTGAGCAGTTTGAGTGATGTATGGAATTTCCCCCCATATATATATAAAAATAAATAAATATTTAAACAAATGGAGGGATGGATGGATGAACAGATATTCAATAAATACTGTGCCCCTGGCCGCCCACAACCCCATGAGTTCAACACCAAAGGGGTCGGCGTGGTCTGCTTGCCCCAAACACAACGACTCTCATTCAACCTGTAGATCAGGAAGGTCTCCATCTGCGGGTGGAAAGACTGTAAGGAGCGGGCCAAGCCAGCCTCATGATGAAGGTACAGTACTGTAATTCCATAGACTGGGAGCAGCCACTGCATGTACCGATGATGCCAGTGGGACTGAGAGAAGACCTTCCCCCAAAGGTCACAGAGACTCTCTCTCTCTCTCTCTCTCTCTCTGTATGTGTTAGTTATATGGGGAGATATGGGACCTGTGAGGTTCAGTATCAAGGCTGGGCACACCAACCCTGTATCTTGCTTTGGTAAAGGCAGTGATAGAGAGGAAAAGGCCCAGGGAAGTGTATATGGACATTGCATCATGGTCTTATGCTCCTGGACTGTTCTAAAGGAGGCAGGGATGGGTCAGTGTCCATGTTGTTGCTATGCTGTCCAAGGCTTTCCAACCTGGTTCTGCAGATGGAAAGGGAAAAAGAGCTGGTACTATGGTCAGGCATAGAAATAAAAGTTTTAAATAATAGCCAGGCAATGACTGGCTGTGGGTATGCGGTGGGTCTGCTTGACTTATATGCAAGGAGCTGGGTCCTTGGCAGGTTCAAGGATCATTCTCGATCAGGATCATAGGTAGATGTGGGCCAGAAACTTTCTCCCAGATGCCACTGGAAGCAACAGTGGTGTGGATGTGTTTCTCCCACTCTGTGGCCTGCCTTGGCCTCTGATACTCTTTGACTGGAATCCAGCCAGTTGTGTAACCTATGCTGTGCGAGGCTGATGATGCCATCAGCTGTCATAGTTTCTGATTTCCACCTCCCAAAAGGTCCCCAAGTCCCTTTGGGCATGTCTTTTCTCGTGAGGAAGCTGCTGGGGGCTGGAAATCGCCACTGTCCTATGCCCCAGCAGCTTCTCCACATGGAAGGGGATCCAAAAGACGCCCTTGGGATCTTTGAGGGGGGGCAGCTATTGGAAAACTGTTGACATCATCCACCTCAGGCTGATGATAAGTAACGCTGCTGGATTTCAGCCTCTGAGTGTGTGCTGTTTTGGACTGGAAGCAGATGCCCCAGGCCAGTGATCCCCAGCTTTGGACTACAATTCCCGGAAGCCTTCATCACCAGCTATGCTGGCTGGGATTTCTGGGAGTTGCAGTCCTTGAATACCTGAATGGCCCAAGACTGGGAACCAGCGTCTTGACCTAGACAATCATGACTCTGATCGTGGGGCTGAAGGACAGATGAGGAGAGCAAGCAGCAGGTACATCAGAGACACATGTTGATGCCGGATCTGGGAGGGGGAGTCCCCCCCTCTTAGTGGTGAGGGGGGGCGCGGCCTGCCTTGCATAAATGCATACGCTTTTCCTGCTGTAGAAAATGGTTCAAAGTGGACAACTCCCTGGGGCTAGTGGTTTGTACTGGACCACCCCTCCTGAACCTATTAAGGGCTAAAGCACAACTGGGGTTCCTTCTGCTGCAGGCCCCGCTATTCCATCATCATGGCTGGGTTGCACTCCACCACGGCAGCTATTGCAAGCGTTCAGTAGTGTGTGCTATAATATCATTGACTGAATTATTCCCTCCTCTTCCGCCCACGGTCGTTTGGGAAGACAATTTGTTCTAATCAGAAATGGATTTGTGTCTTGAAAAACTGTCAGCTTCATTCAGGTCTGGTACTGAGAACAAACTCCTGGGGTCAGACCTCAGCGTATTTTTTTTTTCTATGAGGTTCCAGCTGGAGGATCTCTGGGTTTGTACTTAAAAAAAAAGGAAAAGGAAAAGGAAAAAAAAAAGAAAGAAAAGAAATGGTAGCCCATAAGCTAGAAGCCTGTCCACACTGCAATTCCCAGAAGCCTTCACCACCAGCTATGCTGGTTGGGGCTTCTGGGATTTGCAGTCCAAGAACACCTAGGTTACCCAAGGTTAAGAACCACTGAGCTAGAAGCCTGCCCATCCTCAGTGCAAAGGGTACTGGGAATGCCGCAAAGGAACAGTTTTGCATTGTTACGGGAGGCTTACAACCGAACACATGGCTTTTTGTTTTCAGTCCATATAGGGACCTGATTTCTTCTTCTTTGCAGCTCCTGGACAGACCCATCTCCCCACTCAGCCTTTATCTCTCTTTATTTGCCTTAGGCCCAAAGTAGATGACACAGTTAGCACATCATTAGAGACGGAACTCCCGAAAGCTGTGAAAGATGCTTAGTTATCCTAGCACGAAGTTGCCCCTTTCTGTATTTCTTTCACTAGTATCTCCTACCTCCAAGGCATCATCCTTTCACTCTTTCCTTGCTCCTTTCTCCAGTGTTCAGGTGTGCCACGAGTTCCCCTGTTCTCAAATGTGTCTGTGCCTTCACCTTTCTTCACCCTCTCTGATGGACGGGTGCCACTCCAGAGGTTGTTGGGCAGAGAGATGTATCATCCGTTAATACTGACTACATTTTCTTGGGTACAATACATGGGCATTGCAGCCCGACAGCATCACTAACTGTAAAACAGTGCACTTCCTCCTTTTCCTTAAAGACTTCCAGAATGCAGTGTCCATTTCTGCTGTGTTTTTGCCAAAACACCACTTTTTAACCCTTCATGATTAGGTGTCTGTCCCTTGTGCTCTGCTGAAACTGCTATACACTGCCCTGTAGCTCTGTATGGATAGTTAGTGTTCATTGTTAAGTTATATTATATTGTACCTAACGTTGTTTCTGCCTTATTCACTAGATTTGCTGACCAATGACATTGAGGATGATGTAATCTGCCTCCAGAAGGCTACAGCCAAGGCAGGAGGCTTGAAAACCTGGTAAGGATCTGAGTTTGTCTCTCTCTATATCCCCAACTATACATTTAATCCATTCAGTTACCTTCCCACCGACCTATCCATCTCCCCATACCTGCCAGATTTAGCCACATTTAGTGCATCACCTGCAGGAAGCATATGATTGGATTCCATCTTTTGGTGCCTTCTGAAAGGTTGAGGAAATGAATTCATGGGTGCTTGGGATTCTGACGGAGGACTCAATTCATGGCCATAATAAAAATTTCACTGTTCCATTCAGTGTTTGAGTGGGGACACTATTGTAAAGGCACAGCAGGAAACGTACCTGCTTATTCTTGTGCACTGGGAAGACATCCGTGTAACACACACACACACACACACACACAAATATAGAGGGCAAGACGCACACGCACACGCACACGCACATACACACACAAATATAGAGGGCAAGGTATCTTGCTGATATTTCCTAACCATCTGTTGCTGGAAGGTGGAAATGGAGCCAAACATCTGTCATTGATATGTGAGAAGCACCAAGATGACATCAAGACTTAAGAAGCCGCAATACAGCCACAATACACAAAATACCTGTTTGTCGACCAATACTGTGTGGCGCTCAGTATTGTGTGAGATGATTGCGATATGTGAGAAGCACCAAGATGACATCAAACTTAAGAAGCCACAATACAGCCACAACACACAAAATACCTGTTTGTTGACCAATACTGTGTGGCACTCAGTATTGTGTGAGATGATTTCAATGGCTCTAAAGTCCCCAAGGGAAGGTAAATTGAATTCCCGACCAATTGCCATCTGACTCTTTCTACTGGAGGTGCTAGGGACTGAACTTGGTGCTTTCTGAATGCAAAGGATGTCTGCCTTTGGTAAGGTACTTCCTGTCCTCCCCTCCAAAATCAGGGACAATTGCACCACCACAGATGTCTTAGTGTAGTGGTCAACTCCGGACTGTAATGTGCCTTGCAGGCTGCATCTCCCAAGCTTAAATGCACTTCTAACTATACATGGATATTTTGAAAATATGGTCATATGAAACAAACACGTCAGGCCTAGCTAAAAGCTGTCTTCCGGACATCTAGTTTTATACTTGCAGGAAAAGAGGATGTTTTTGCATGGAGAAACATGTGGCCCTTGTGCCCGCCTCCACCCACTCTCTGAAACACAACATCACAAACGCTGATAAGATTTCTCAGTGACAACTAGGCCAAACTAAAAATATCCTGCCTTAGCACAGAAACTGAACCTGTCACTGATGCAGTGGTAGAACGGAGCCAGGACTCACAAGGGTCAACACTTCCTGACACTTTCGGAGGCTTTCCCTGTTCCCTCTAAGTTTTCCTGCAGCCCTACGAAGAGCTGAAAGAGAAATAGATTTTTCTTCTTCTCCCCCCAGGACTTGCACACTACTGCAAGCTATTTCTGCCCCTCCTATTGAAGGGTGCTATGATTTACAGGGGGCAGTTAAGAACTGCTGACTGTACAAAACAAGCAGACAAGAATACACTCCCTCCTGCTCCTTATGGGCTGATATGGGCTGATCCAGCTGCCTGCAGTTTTGGACTCTTCTTTTGTGAGGGGCTGTGTATGGGGAATGTGAGTGGAGAACATATGAACTTTTTAGTTTATAGTTAGAGGAAAAGGAAATGATTTTGGTTGGATTTTTTTATGACACAGTAAACAGAAGAGCTCCCAGAAAAGAATTTCCAGCAAGTCCAACTGGAATCCTAGCAGAATGATTTTGAAAGATAAGCACTCCAGTTATCGAAGCTAAGAAATCAGTAATACCTGGACATAATTTCATTTTTCTAGCTCTTACCCTTTCCGAGATCTTTCAAGACAAGTATATTTTCAAAAACGTGTTTTGAGATATAAGCACTCCAGTAATTTAATTTGGGACCTCAGTAAAATCTAAGCAGAAGTTTTTGTTTCGAACTCTTACCATTTCAGAGATCTTTTGAGAGAGGGAAAGAGACATATCTTCATAAACATTTATAAGATTATACTACATGTCAGAAACATACAAAGTTGCCTGAAAGCACATAATGCCACAGGTCATCTCCTTCAGTGTTATCAATACAGTAGGGCCCTGTATGATGAGATTGGCATCCATGGTCTCACTTGTCCATGGTCTGAAAATATTAAAAATATTAAATGAAAAAAATCCAGAAAAATGTATTTCAACAATGTAATTACTAGAACTGGCCACTAGAGGGAGACGGAGACCATGATCTGTATCGGATTCACTATTTATGGTTTTTATGGAATCCTGATACAGCGGGGTTGGAATTGATACCCTGTGGATACCATGGTCCTACTGTACTGACTACTGGCCACTAGAGGGAGACAGAGACCATGATCTGTATCAGATTCACAGTGCTGGCTGGGCTTTTGGATGAGCATCTTCCCTAGCCCTAACTAGAGATGACAGAAGTTGGTCCTGGGACCTTGTGCAAGAAACGTTTGTGGCACCAAACTACTTTATCAAGAACAGAAAGAAAAGACACTCCGGGAGGTGGTAGCTCTGTCATGACTCCAGTTCCTACTTCTGCCCTTTAGCTTGCATTTTCCATAACCTCTGCACAGACGTGCTGTATTGCTTTCTCTCCCCTTGCTCCCTAGGAATGGCTGGAGGGATCATTGTCGTGGCAAAAATCTGAGTCACTGGCTTGCTCCCTGCCATCTCTGAGTTCGTAGCACCAGACACGGAGTCTGTCTCCAGCGACCCAGCTTTTCTAAACCGGCCTGCTGCCTTCAGATGGGATCCCACCATCGTGCAACTGGATTCAAGTCAAAGCATTATTTAAGTGCATAAATAAATGAGCAACCCATCCGCTCCTTTTCCTAGACATGAACATTTATATGCCCTCTCACATCTGTGATGGGGACAGAACAGCCATAATCAGTGTCGGGGGTGGGGGGGAGAAGATGACTCATGCATGAGAATGGGTGATACCTTTTGGGGTACACTCCCCCACCCCACTTATTAGCCATCTGTGGCAGGCTGGAGAGAATGGTAGGAGGAGAGGATGGACCAGAAAGAAAGAAGTGGAGCTAATTTGTGGGGCAGCTCAGCTCTTCCATTAGGGAAAACGGGCCACTGCCTCATCTCAGCCTCTGACTCCCTTTCATCCATCCTGCCTCTTCCAATGGCAGAAGGCCTCTCTCTCTTTGTCTACGAGTGCTTGTTTCCCTGTCCACTTGTGTGCCTCTTGGTATGGACGTGTGCTTCTAAGCAAATAGCTGCTCTCGCATCTGACCACTGCCCACCGCACGGGGCACCAGCCGCTGCTGATAGCTGGACATGGCAGCCCTCAAGGGCTGGTCAGAGCTTGGAGTTAACCCATTACAAATAATGGCACTGCCTGTTAACACACTAGGTTTTTTTTTTAATGAGGAGAGTTTGTGGCATTACTTTTAACATGTAACAACCAGTAAGTTATTAAAAGTTTGTTGTGATAACTAATGTTTGCTTGTAATTTTAAAACATTAATGTTGGGGCATTTGTAAAAAAAATTTGGTGGGGTTGCAGATTTGGGGCACATTTAGCCACTTTTATTTTAAAATGAGGGGGAGGAATTGAGGCTATTTTTTTCACCTTGTTTTAAAAAAGAAACACTTAAAATTAGAAATAGGACATGATCGCTGAAATCCTGTTGCACTGCTACAGAGAAGGCATAAAGTTGGGGGGGCCATATTGCCTTACATCTTTGTCATCTTTGATTGACACAACTTAGCTAGAGGTAATTCAACCCCAAAAGTTGCACCTTTTGCATAGCCGTTCAACAAGCTTTTAGCCAACAACTAATTACCCAAACCAGCAAATGAAGCACTTTAAAAAAGTATTAAGTAATACATTTCTGTTCAGAAGCAGTGTTCCAAGCTCTGGGACTTTGTTGGCTTCCTCCACATGTACTGTACAGACTGACATAGCTTAGTTTTTTGAGTATACTGTATTTTTTATTACACACATATATAGCAGTTTGATACCAATTTAACTGCTGTGGTTCCATCCTGCAAGTATCCTGAGATATGCAGTTTTTCTGTAGGCATCCTTCAGTCTTGAGAGAGTATGGTAACGTGCTCTGTATGGAGGTCTTGGAACAGCATCTAGTGCGGCTGAGGAGGCCAATTCGAGAGTGACAATCCCTTCCACACTGAAGACAACTGCAATCTGTCCCCTGTCCAGCTCCCTGGTTTTGCTGGTTTTGGGACTGTCCCTGCTGGACAAGTGTCTCTTCAAATCGGGAGAGACCATGATGCACCGCCTGCCTCCAGGCTGAATGCTCAGATGTCAAGGTTTCCCATCTTCCCTATGCAGTTTAGTCAAATACTTATTCTCTGCTCGAGAGCTAGTGCACAGTCCTCTGAACTACAGCAAGGATTCCCCTCACAAAACTACAAATCCCAGGATTCTATAGGATGGAACTATGGCAGCTAGTGGTACCAAATGCCATAACTGCGCAATGTACATGTAGTCTTCTGGACTTCATGATCATATGCTTTGTTACTGTTAGCAGCCTGTGTGACCAATGAACCAAATGACACATTATGAGATCCATACTTGCCCTAAAGATGTGAAACTAGTGATGTTTATGTTTGAAGAAATATCTGATACAGGCCCATGATCTTGGCTGGGACTCAAACCCATTTTCTGCTTAAAATTTCCTGTTCCTAGGCTGCATTTGCCTCTGGATGCATTATTTGCAGTACACTGGACAACTCAGTAGTTTGGTTGGAAGTTTGATTCTTCACTGTGCTTCCCTGACAGGGCTGGACTCAATGATCCATAGGGTCCCTTTCAACTCTGTTGTTCTAAAATGATTATTGTTACATTATTCAAAAATTTCAGGCACAGTCAATGAAAAGTATAAAAACATTGACTGGTATTACATAACAGATACAAGTTTTAACAAAAAATCTAAGTATCTGTTAAATATGGATGTAATATATATGCTGTTCCTAATATTGCCTTTTTTGTAGCTCTGATGATATTTTTGTATCTGCAACTGCTTGTAATACCGTGTGAAATTTCTTGATATTGTTCCCAAAGCCCTGAAGACAATAGGGACCACTGGGTTTTGTTTCATCTCTCAGTTGCCATGTCTCTGTATTTTGTTAGTTTTTCCAATTCTTTATCTTCAGCTCTGGCATCTCTTAGAATTGCAATGTCAGTTATCCAGACATTTCTTCATTCTATTGCTTCAATGTCTGGTGTGTTATGTTCAAAGTGTCTATCAGTTTGGATCCAGAAATTCCACATCATCTTGCCTTCATTGTTTCCTGACACCTTCTCTACCTGACATTCCCATGGGTTTTTGGAGGCTGGCAAGTTACATTTTTTGCATAATGATTAGTGCACTGATTTTGCCACTCTGTCATATCTAATTTTGTAAGCAGTTTGTGCCATCTTTGGACATTCACAGATGAAGTGTGACACCGTTTCATCTTTTTCTTGACAGAGTCAATAGTTGCAATTTTGAATCTTATTCTTATCTTTATTCTTATCATCACCACCACCTTTAGGCAAACAGCCATCCATGACTATGATTTGAGGAAGATGATTCATTCGCTCCTGATACAGATTAAGATCTAACTTTAGTCAGCAGGACCCTAGATTTTTCTTTAAATAAAAATGGCTGACTGAAATCTGCCTTTGAAAAAAATATGGACAGGCTTGTGTGTTCTTTAGTCCTCACTCTGTTGTCCGAGTCCAATCTTTGCGGTAGCTAGGAAAGTACATAGTGTGGTGTCGTGGACAGAATGGCAGACTAGGGCTCGGATCCCTGCCCAGGTATGGAGCGGGGGGTAGAACTGGTAAACCACTCCTTAAATACCTCACTCACCTTTGAAAGCCCTCTGAGGGTTGCTCTGAGTCAGTTTTTACTTGATGGCACAGAACAACAGTAACAGGAAAGTACATCTTAGTGTGCTGT